GCTAAAGTTTCGTCGGAACAAATTTACGGGAAATCAATTAACAAACAGAGACGTAAGAGTTTTATTGCCCTTTGGACTGTGATTTTTAAAATTCCTCCATAAGAAGTGTCAAAATATGCAGTAACATGAAAGAAATGTTAAACTTACCAAGTTACATAAAGCTTGTGCTGCTCGTGAGTGTACCTCATAGAAAATTTTTATTAATAATATCATTTCATTTATTTATATTACCTAATTTAACCTTATCTAGCCTAAAAGTTTCAAAATTTTACATCATATTCTAATTTACTTTGAATAATTATCTCCTATTCTGTAATTAACTTAATATGTATTAATTATAATTAACTTCAAATTTGCTTGTACAATATTCAAGGGTCCTAAAAAAAAATAAGTGTGCCAGGGCCTTGAACTACCTTAATGCAGGCTTGCTTGGGACCTTGATTTATGGCTTACATTTATTAAAATGCACTGAAATGGTTACTAGGGAGCCTTGACTTATGGCCTACATTTATTAAAACCGATTGAAATGTTTATTAGTGGGCTTTGACTTATGGTTTATATTTATTAAAACCTACTGAAATGGTTACTAGGAGCCTTGACTTATGGCTTTCATTTATAAAAATCTAATTAACTGGTTCTTAAAAATGAAGTGATCCCTGGGTGACACTTAAATTCTTTCATTGGACTTAAGTAAATTGTATTTGAAGACTTAGAAATGTTTTTAACAGTAAATGTAATAAAACATAATTTGACATCACTCGTTTTGAAGAATAAATAATTGTCACTACCTTAACACTATCATTATCATTTGATAATTTTATTTTAGAGCACTACAATTACTAACCTGACTTAAAATCATGAAACCTTTTGTTGTTGGATTCTGTAACTTGTAAATCATGGACTTACGATCACTGTCACATTGAAACAATAACATACAACTAGTCAATGAACAGTCAGACATATCCAGCCTCAATGACTTCTTCATTAGTTTGACTACTGATCCCTGGTAGTTCATACAGCTTAAGTGCGTTTTTTCAGAAGTTGCTACAATTTTTATATCTAGAATGGATAGCTTAAGTTCTGTGCAAAAATTTACAATTTTTCCACCCTTTGATATAAAACTATTCAAGGTTTCAGAAATTTCTAGAGGAACATTACTGCTGGATATCACAAGCAGGACTGCGTTATCTTGCCATGGTGATGATGTCAACTGTAAAACATCAGAAAGCTAGCTGAATATCAAAATGAACTATTCTTGAAATAAAAAAGTTTTCCTACTGCATAGTAAAAACTTAAAGTGTTAGCTTGTATACATCATCAGTTAATTTAGATATGAAAAAAATAGTCATTTGAAATTTCATTCAATAAACCACATGATTACTTGATATGCATTAGTTTATATATCACAAAGTTTAATTAATGTGTTACTTAAAAGATTACCTAAATAATATTGGTTTAAGTATATCCAAATGACAATTTGCAAAATTATCTACTAATTTGTGTAGTGACAGCTTGGTACATTTTTATATAATAAAAAAATTATCACTTGAAATGCTAGTTTCTTAATGACACAAAGATCGGACTTAATTTATTTTCATCAATTTTTGACTTACTTCTTGTGGTTTTAACAAGTATATCACATACTGGTCAGGAAGAAGACACAAAAGTAGATTTTCCTTGATAGAGTTAAACTTTACACAAGTTGAGGTACCATCTTCTCCAGTATACACCAATATATTAGGAGGTTTATTCTGATGTCCTTCTCCATTAAGGAACTTCCCTGAAAAATATTCTATTTCTAAATAATTGCACGTTACCATCATTACTTTTAATTGAATTTATACTACCAGGTACCTTTGTCATCTTTGCCTTAAATGAAATATCAGCTATACCACAAGTTTGATTATGTTTTGAGCCATTCCAACATGCTACCCTCAAATTATCTTGACCTGCACTTGGAATTACATTTCAGTACTTTCTGTAACAAATTACTATTTATTATTTGATATTCTTTTGGGGATTCTTGGCAAGATTCTAGCGGTGTTTCACAAATATCATCAAATTCGTATTTTCCATAAGACAACCCTGTCTTTTGAATCTTGATTTAAGTTCACAATCATTTCACGATTTTCATTTCAAATTTCACCCTACTGTATACTGTTCTTCCATAATTCTTCTGGAAAGATTAAAATGCACCCAAGGAGAAGAAACTTTTAGCCATACCAGTTCATCTAAGTGCATGGAACAACAGTTGTATTTAATATTTTTTATTATATTATTATTTTGCATATATTAAGGATTTTAAAGTTAATTATTAAAATCAGTAAACTTTCTAATTCGATGAGCAAAAACAATCAATACTTTCAATTTAGTTATTCCATGTAAAAATAGAAAAGTTGGATTTATTCAGAAAACATAATAATAATAATCACCAAATAATTTTTTGTATACTACTTTTATATAAATAATCCTAAGAATTTATATCTTAAACAATTATCAGTTGTTAGTTTTATTTATAACTTTTCACGTATATTAATTTTCATAAAAAATCATGAAAAAATTCTACTCTGCAGAAAGGTCAGGAATTTAATCCAAAAAGCAACTACTTTATTACTTCTGATTTAAAAAATAATAATAAACTACATCAAATGCTGTAATAAGTAATTCTTCTGAATTATTTTTAAGAACATTACCTTGGCAACCAGTATCAGCTTTGTTGACCGGCTGGCTAAGGCTTGGCTCTTCATTAGTTTTAGCATGAATACTTCCAGTGATATGTTCCATATCCAAGTCAACTACTGACTCATTTAAAACACCAAAGTGATTCAGGTTTACTTTTTCTGCATCAACAGCAACATTTTCTAATAGAAACACTTCCTTCCAAGAAAATTTAAAAATTAATCATTCATCACTTTAGTTATTCCTTTAAGACACTATAGAAATATCAAATACTGGTACAGTTAAAAAAAACAAAAGTGGTTAAATCTAACCATGGCTAAACGATGACTTAAAGGATAACAATGAAGAATAAATACAATTTTTTGAAACCTTTTTTATTGACAAACCAATCTCATTTTATAAAGCAAAACTTCTAAAAGTGTTATTTTCATTATCACAAAGACCCTCTGTTACATAGATATGCACTGCATGAAATTAAGTTAGCATTATATCTTCCTTCAAATACAAGTATCTGTTGACATATAATCATTAAATATATTATCGTATCATTACATACTCGTTACATAATATACACATCTACCTTCAATAAATAATAACTTGCAAGTTCCCTACTTACATTTTGTACAATCATCTTATCAATGTTTAAATTACAGTATATCATGTAACTCAACAGTCACCTGCTTTGTACACAATGTTTTTTGTTGATTGGCATGTAATACAGTGTTATATTAATAAATGTAAACATGTCTTAATGACATACGCATCCTGAGCTGTGATACATAAATAATTCACTACCAAGTTTGTAGTTTTTGTTACTCTCTCTTCTGCAGGTATTAACAAGTAATTTTAATATATCGATGTCTGATTGGATTCATTGCTCAGCATGTGAATATCACTTGTCCATTGTTCATAAATTTCCCGTGTAACTCATCTTCATGTGTTGATAAACAATTTTCATAATTACTCTGTGTCATTGTTCAACTTTAGTTTGTTTATTGTTAAGCACAAACCTACACAATTGGCTATCCGTGGTGTGTCTACCACAGTTATTAAAACCTGGTTTTTACCATTATTAACCTTCTGACTTACCAATGAGCCATTATTAAGCTAGTTTTGGCTATTATGGACAACTTACTTGTACATGTTATGGAACAAGATCATCACAACATTAAAACACAAAGAAATAAATGAAAAATGCATTTGTCCTAGAATTTAGAAGCATCTGACTAAATGTTTAAATATTTTAGCAACTTCAACACATAATAAAGTTATCATATAGTACGTAGTAGCTTAATGTTTCCTTTGTCCTACTTTTGGAGTTTTTCACAAATTACTGCTTTATGTTTCAAGAAGTTTTTAGTCCTTTTCAAGGAAGTAAAAAAAATTAATGTAAAGTAAAATGTAATGACACTGTAGGTAATGTTGTAAAGCCCCACATCTTACAAGAAATCACAAATAACACAAAATAAAAACTGTTTTACTGTTAGGTCACTTTCATAGTGACTTTAGCTACTCTCAGTAGGTAGCATTAAAAAAAAGGTACATCTATTTTAAAACTTTTGTTGTTTATCATTTATCTGATCACATTAGTTTCACGTATAAAGTACTGTTTCAGGAAATGCAAACTCCTATAATTAATTAAAAAAAAGCAGTGATATCTAGTCAAAACATTTTACATGTACAAAAATATTCACCAATGTTTTCTCGTTTAAGTTACCCACTGTTTCATTGCGGAATATTAAGCTTCTTTTTTTTTTTATTGCAACTGGAGTAAGTAGCAGCATGAATATAAAAAGGGGGCCAATTTTCCTCAATTTTTTCTTGTGTAATTTACTTACTTTCACATGAAACCCTTAAAGGGTGTACCTTTTCATATAACTTGGCTCTTTTTTTTTGCTTTATTCTAACTTGATTGTTTTTGTTCTGTAAATTGTTTTGACCAGATATAATTATTATTCTGATTAACTTACAGGAGTTTTCACAACTGTAAAAAATAACTTATATGTAGCTTGTACATGAAAACTAATAGTTTTTGTCTATTTATTTAGATAAAATGAATATTTTCCTACATTTAAAGATGATAAATGCTTTTTTATACAAAATGATGAGATTTTTTATTAAATACATTTTTTATATTTAGTAAAACTTGTTTCTAAAATAAGTTAGCTCAATTTTAATTAAAAGTGATCCCATTACTTTAGTCCATTTAAGCATTCTGACTCTGATACACGAAAATAGCAATAAGGTCAATGATTAAATCAGCAATATTTTTACTACTCTTTAAATGCTTATTTCTCTAAATCCATAACAGAAATAATACATTTTAACATGATATATTACTTTTAAATTAATTAAAAATAAGATTTCACCCAAAGTGGAATTTGAACCTCAGTTAACAGAAGCAGCTATCAAATGAACATATATGCAGCATCATAAACAATTATACCATACCCCCATTTTAGGCTTATTGCATGTTCCTATGCCCTTATTTAAGTTAGTATTTTAAAATAGGTGGCCCTACAAAGCCTAATTTAAGGCCCACACCACTGTCAGACATTCTACAAGTAAGCAAAAATGTCCTGGGAATTTTTTTATTCTCCAACAATCTCAGGCCTTTGGTTTTATGGTCACTATCTGAAGTGGCCAAATGTGGAAAATAATTGGGAACCACTGCCTTAAATGGAGTTTTATGTTTTGGTTCTTCAATAAGAAAAAGTGAACAATTTTACTACTATTTAACTGCTTGTATCTTTTAATCTAAAATAAATATGCTAATTTAAATATGATGTAAGTGTTTAGATCTGTTCAGAAACACAAAAACAGTGGCATTCCAGCATCTAGAACAGCTGTGGCAATACCCTAGATTTGGAAAAAAAGGTTTGCTCCTCAAAACAGTCACAACATTGTTAGTCTGTCCTTCTAACATAACTGAATGTCAACATTGTGGATAGCTTTTTATACAAAAATATCTACAACTTTCCTGATGATGTGACATGAGTTAATTCTATTGAAAATGTTTCTTTTTCCAAAAGAACCTTGATAATTTGAATAAGTAGTTCAGAAGACGTAAAGTGATTTCCAGTATTATGTATACGTATAATAACGAACTTGTTATTGAGAAGTGTAAAATTTTACATTTAGGGAAAGGTGATTATCAAGTCCTGGGTTCAATTTACTGGAATATTGCATTAAAAATAAAACATCATTGTGACCAAGTAAATAAAGTACTCCTTTAACAACTTTCTACAATCACCTCATACAAATATATATACTAAAAAAGGCATCTTTATTCATATTTCTATAAAAATAAATTTTTATCAACGATTCATGTTTAAGACACAATCAAAGCAGTGAATAACTTCATACTTCAGTTCATTTGTTTATGCACATTCACTTATGAACTAATAATGAAATACAATGTGCTCTACACAAAATAGTGTAAACACCCATTAAGTTTCATTTTGGCATATCTTAATTTTATTTGGGGAATACCCCATAATTTTAGTGTTTTACATTGCACACACAGAAAATACTTAAAAGAAAAACAATTCATATGTTGACATAAACACTACTACTCTCTCTCTTTCTATATATATAT